TTACAATATATATATATATATATATATATATATATACTGTATATACATATAATGTATATATACTGTATATGTACTATTTCAATATTTCTAACTTAAAAATTCCATGTTAATTTAAATTTTACTTTGTTATTATTTGTGAAATTTCTGAGTGAAAATTGTTTTTAGGCACATCCTACACCAAAAATCTAATTTTGAACAATTTTCACTCAGAAATTTTGCTTGTAAATATCATAATTAATTACTAAGAAACCGCAAGTAGAACAGAAACGGTATTTTTCTGTAAAACATGCTCTAATAGTGTTTTATTTACAACATTTTTTTTACAGTGGATACAATCTTTATTATTAATAAATGTATTATTATTTAATTAATTGATATTATTGTGATTAGTATTAAATATCTACATTTTAGAATAATAGTAAAGTCATCAAATCTATGAATAAACAACATGAAGTATGTTCATCCATTAAAAACATCCATTTCTTTTTTAGAAAAAAATCATAAGTAGACAAAAATATAATTATCTTTAACTTATTTAAAGCATTTAAGCACAAGCCTTCAGATGAAAATGTTTTTGGATCATGAGTAACACATTTATCCGGTAGTTTGAATTTTCATGCAAGAAAACTTTTATCTGGTAGTGTGAATTTTCATGCAAGAAAAAATGTGTCACATAATAAAAGTGTGGCATGGTTCAAATGCGAAAAAGCAACTTTAAATGCTAAAAAGATCCACAGTGAGCTCTCAAATAATAAATCTCTCAAAGTTGCTGATAACAGCCGGACTTTTAAAGACCCATTACTGCAATGTAATCAAAATAAAGCTCTTTATTCGCCCTTACCTTGTAAAGCCTGGACAGCAGGTGATTGACAGGAGACGGGAAGTCAAATATGCCATCAGCATCCATTGTCGTATTTGCGACGGCTGAGAGAGCGCTGTAACGGGAGAACAGAGCGATCTTGTCACAAACTGGAGGCTCTTTGCCATGGCTGCTTATGACATTGATTCTTTCTGAATAGACTGTAACCTAGAGTATAAATATAAAACTCCACACCAGCAGCAGTAGTTTGAAGTCTAACTGCAGACGATAAGTGTGTCTTTGTCCTGCTTTAAAACGTCATTTGATTCAGCTCAAGCAGCATTACGGCGCTTAAGAGCTCATGAAAGAAACATCTGTGTGTGCATGTCAAGGACTGAGTCTGATCCTCAGCATGGCCAACAGGAAGATTGTCATTTGAATAGTTGAAAAATTGAGCCCAGGATTCACAAAATAAGAGCTATGCATTTCATACTATATAGTAGTGTTTCTAAGCTGGTGGGTCGTGACCCAAAAATGTGTTGCAAATCTGTTCAGCAGAGAAAAAACATTTCTTTGGCAATGTCTGTGCGTCCGGTCAAACTCTACTGTATTTTGGTGCAAATTCATCTGTCACTTCTTAAAAGCTAGCCATATTACACAGATACTAACACAGACAGGTTTGCTGTCCTCATAGGAAATGAATGGGTTACTATGGTAACCAGGATTCATTTCCCTTATGCCAAATCACAGCATCAGTATATGATGTGTTGTCTATTATGAAGTACTTTAACAAACAAATAAAATGTTTTGTACAATTTGCTATGCATATCATCAAACAAAATCAAAAATATAATTAAAAAAAATCATACACACACACACATATATATATATATACAGTGCCGTGAAAAGGTTTTTGCCCCCTTCCTGTTTTTTTAATTTTTTGCATATTTGTCACACTTAAAAGATTCAGATCATCAAACCAATTTTAATATTACGCAAAGATAATGCAAGTAAATACAAAATGCAGTTTTTAAATGATAATTTCATTTATTAAGGGAAAAAAGCTGTCCAAACCTGCTTGGCCTTAAATGAAAAAGTAATTGCCCCCTAAATCTAATAACTGGTTGTGCCACCCTTTGCAGCAACAACTGCAATCAAGCGTTTGCGATAA